CCAAAGCTCAAAGGTGTCAATTCTTTTTCTGTCATCCTTATTCATTATCCAGGTCTCGGATGCACAGCTAGTAATAGGAAAGTCTTCAACCTGAATCAGATACACCTTAGTCCTCAAACAGACATCACTACTTCTCAATAATTTGGAAAGGTCCCGAACTGCAGATTTTCCCAGTGCAATGTGTCTCCTTATTTCCTGAATGCTTGTAGCAAGGTTGTTAATTGTGGATCCAAGCAAGATGAAGCTGCTGACAGTTGCAATCTCCTCTCCATCTACCATGATGCTGCCTATCAGTCCAGTGATAAGAGTCCTCCTTTTCCTAACACTGATTTACAATCCATACTGAAAACTGCATTCCTTGATCTTCTGCAATAAGTGCTTCAAGTCCTCCTCACTTTCAGCTAGCAAGGTTGTATCATCTGCATAATGCAGGCTATTGATGAGTCTCCCTCCAGTCCTGATGCCACACTCCTCTTCTAAATTGTACTTGAAGTTCTGGTAGTTCCTTATCTATGTATTGTTCTAGCTGTTTTAGAATGTTCTTCAGCAGTATGTTGCTTTAATGAAGTATTAATTATATTGTTCGATAATTTCTACATTCAGTTGGATCACCTATCTTGAGAATGTGAACAAATATGGACCTCTTCCAATTCATTGGGCAGACATAAAACTCCATGTGAAATCCCCCCTCACTCTGCGTATAAGTAACTTTTATACTAACTTTGCTTCTCCTGCATATTTTTTACTTTGCTGTAAAAGTTTGTTATGTAGAAACATCTTAGTGTTCTGCAAATTTAAATTTCATGTAAACATGATCTTGTATCTAGAATTTGTTTTTACCTCTTTCTCAACAGTATGTTTTAATTCTACCTTACACCGGTCACTCTGCTTCCTTCATTTTATCTCTTAGACAGTATTTCACTGCATGATCGGATCTTAATGGACTTAAAGAAATACAAGTTCTGAGAGGTAACTGAGAGGAAAAGGGGGCAAAGTACTGGAAGAATCAGGGACCCAGAGTTTGTTGGAAGGCTACCTGTTAAAAAGTTAGGATTGTTAAAAATGGAGGAAGGAGAGAAATAGCTGAAATCCAAGAATGCAAGGACCTGGAGTGTCTGAAAGAAAGCAGAACAACAGTAGGAGAGCTTCAGGAAAATTGATCTGGTCACTTGGAGTCATTGGTTATTTAGTGGTATCTTGCCTGGTGAGCATTTTCCTTGATTCCACTTGTCTGCTGTTCTTTGTACAATTGCATGGGCGGGGGGGGGGGCGCGTGTTGGGGGGTGTAGGTCACAATCGCCTAATTACTGCTTCAGCAACCATTTAAAACATACATGAAACACCATCACCTTGTCAAAGTGATCATAAACTACAAATTAGCAGGCTCTGAAAATTTTCTTCTAGACAAAATACAGATTACTTTTCTACACTCCAGGAGTGTTGAAAGCACAGTACATAATGCCTCAGGCTGATAAAATTCAAAGGTCCACAGTTCTAATTTACCTGCAGCTGCAGGAATCAAAGATAGTTCGTCTCCTCCCATAAAGATTTACAGCCTCAAAACTCTGACGGAAGGTTGTTATGTGTCAGAACTGACTTGACGGCAGCATGACAAGATTCTCAGTTTTTAAATTAATTACTGGAACAATTAAAAGCAAATTTGTTTTGTGATTTTGTGAAAGCTTTAACATTTGTCTTTTCTGACTTAGCACACCTCAAACCTACTTTTTAATGGTTTTTTTAAAATATTCTGATAAATACATAAGTTTTCACAACAATGTGTGTGTGTGTGTGTGTGTGTGTGTGTGTGTGTGTGTGTCCCCTAGTGGCAAGAAGTTGTGCTGTAATCCCAAAGGCATGCAGTTTGAGACCACTAGCTGCTCTATGGGAGGTAGACCATCTCTTATGTTATTAACTGTGTCTTAAAACCTGTCAGAGTGTAAGCTATGGGTCAGTTCTGACTCAATAGTACACGACAACAAAATACACATATATTTAATACTGTCTTTAAGAAAATTGTGAAGCAGCAGATGTAAAGCAATGAGGGGTCTTTTTGTAAAAGTATGGCCTTCCAGGAGGACATTGTTGTGCAATTAAAGACTATACAAGACAGTCTATATACTGGCCCACTGTCAACATGGTAAACAACAGTGAGACCAAATCCTCTATGTCTCTGGGGAGTAGTAGAAGACTAGAAGACTATTTGAAAGTAATAAGGGAAGCATTCATACAGTAAATAAACTGAATAAATGTTATGAAGTGTAGCAGTCAGGTACCATTATATTGCTAACCAGTACCCAATAAAGACACATTTGTGCCCCTCTTCATTATTTGAAAAAAAAAAAATTCCCCCAAGTCATAAAAAAAAAGGTACTGCACTAGGAGAATAATTACAGGCCGATATTTACTGAAGATGCAGAGTTCTTCAGAACCACTGAGTTTCGGAATATCCGGATCAGGCATCAGTACTTCTTTGGGGAATATTTGTATTTAATATAAAATATGATGCTTATTTTCAGTTTGTTTCACTACAAGGTATTGATTTTTGCCCAGAATCCACTAAAAAAGGGATAGATCTATGCTGACACATATACTGTACTTTATTCACATCATTTGATTGACAGACCAATTGATTTTTATTAGGGAGGGGAGTTTGGGTGGCTCATATGTAATTTGTTTCTCTTACTAAATGTTAAAGTGTGAGCTCCAACAAATTTACATCATTCCTTCCTCAGAAACAATTCTCTCCTCTCACATAGAGAAATTTAAGTATATTTCTCTGTGATACAGGTTATCCCATCAACTCATCAACTATCTAGTAAAGTTAACAATTCCTGATTTAGATGAAATTAGCAAATGGCCTCATTGTTGCTGTTAGGCGTCAGTGAGTCTGGTTCATCTTATCTCAATTCTACATACACCAATCAAAACACTACCCAATCCTATTCCATCTTCACAATCTCTATTTTGCTTAAGACCACTGTTGAATTCACTCTGTCAATTCATCTTACTGAGAGTTATCCTGCTTTATCCAAGCATGGCATCCTTCTCCAAGGATGTGTTCCTCTTGATAACATGTCCAAAGTATGTACGACAAAGAAAAAAAAAGCTCTTAATAATATGAGATTTAATTTTGCTAATGAACAGCATTTTAGCAATAACTTTAAAAGAAACTTGGTAGCACAGTGTGCAACAAGTCAAGCTGCTAAAGGAAAGGTCTGCAGTTCAAATCCACCAGCCACTCTGTGGGAAAAAGATGGTCAATCTCCTCTCACCTTGGAACAAGATGAAAGGCCACAATGAGTTGGAACAGACTGAATGGTAGTGTGTGTGGATTGTTAACAGTAGAATACTAATATCCTAACTCTGAAATAGAACACAACAAGTAACAATTACTATAAAAAAAGGAAGCATTACTTAGCATTCACTTGGGTTCTCAAACTTTCAAGATAAATAGGATGTCCGTAAAGACAAAGAAAAAAGAGAAAGGGCCCTACTTTTTTTTTTTTTAATAAGTGTGCTTGATGTAATTTTATTCCTGTTTTTCTTGTTTCTTATTTCTCATATGATGGAAAGAGTCAACAAGTTTGGACTTTTCTGAGTTGAGGCCAAAGAGTTCTAATCGCAATTTAAAAGGGAAATTTTCAATTCCAAAAGCATTTTTTATGACAAACAACTAGACCCATAAATCCCAATGCTCAAAGATGTAAGTTTGTAGTTTACACTAGAGTGCCGATTTATATAGGCACATTCTGGAACAATGGCCCAATGTCCTTCTCGTAACCCAAGGTTGTATAATAAGCAGGAAGCAAAGGATTTAGGATAGAAATTTGCAAGGTTGAAAATTTCATTCATACTCTGGCTTCTAAATGGCAACTGAAATTTTGCAGTATTTAGCAATAAAAGAAATCCTACATTGCAATAGCTACCATCTACATTTCTAATCTCCCAAACTCAAACTTGCATAAGCTTATTACAAACATTATACTTATTATTAAGTAAACACACACTATTCCACCCCTTAACTTTAATATAAATCAGAAATAAAATTAAAATATTTCTAGGCCAACCCTTAGAAAAAGTACTAGTTAATAGCAAATTATCCTAATATTAAAGAAATATTTGGGTCAGCTAGCTTCATTCTGCAATTGACTAATGGAAAATAGAGAAGAAGAAAAAAAAACCCCAACCCTATGTTTTATTTATCATTCACCTTAGAGTTGAAACATACTATAAAGAAATAAAGTCAAAGTTCACAAATCTATTTTAATCATACAATGGAATTACATAAATCACCTCATTAATATTTGGATCTAACAGTAAAATGTTGAGATGGTATAAGATTTTTATTGATTAAAATGCAACTGAATAGACTTTATTCTACTTAAAATCTATAATTTACATAAAACCTATGATTATGACAAGAGTCCAGAATGAAGGTTGCATAGTGGAGTGTACTGGCTGGGGGGTCAGGGGGAGGGTTTGCACACCATTGAAAGAATTTTTCTTTTACTTTTCAAAGAGAAGAGTGAACTGGGGAGGAGGGGTGGGCAGGGAGAAAAGTGCAACAATGAATGAATGGAAATCCAAAATCTCTGTAAATGTTCATTAAAATTAATAAAATTTTAAAAAATCATAAATTTATATAACATAGCGAAAAGCAATAATTTCTGATTCATACCAATGTATACTATCAGCAGAGGAAGTAACATTTTTGTATGATTATATATAATAGAATTATGTTTAAGAATGTAAAATCATTACAGGAATAAATATGAATTTTGGTGTCTAATGCCTTTAAGGAAGAAATCCTAGAAACTATTTTTAAATAATTAAAATAAATTTTATAAAAAACCCATAAGTTTCTTAACTCAGGTTCTTATCATTAGTATTCTGCTTGCCACAAAAGGCTTACAAGTTAAAGAATAACCACATTATCAAGCATACAAAAAAAACCCAAAACAAACAAACCACCAAGGAAACAAAATGATACTACTTACAAACTTCCTCTTCTGGGGAGACTCAGCTCTTTCTGGAAAAGAAAAACACATATGCATGTATGAAATACTATATTAGCCTTAGACTCCTAGGACATCAAGTGCACACCATTAAACAGAAATCAGCTTTCAGTATGTTTGATTTGACACTTTCTAGACTGAAAAGATTTTAATGTCATCATTTCCAGTTGGATGTCTCCTTCACTATTTAATGTATGTTTAAGGTATGAACAGTATTTCTCTGAATTCCAGAGCCAAAAAGGCTATCAGTAGTTCTACAGTAAAATACTGAGCTCTAAACTTGAACACTATTTTCTTTCTTTCTTTTTATTTTTTACTATAAAGTATTGATAACTCTATTGATAGCTCTAATGCTCTATAGGGAGCTCTGGTGGTCTAGCTGCAAGAAGCTGTCCTATAATACCGAAGGCACATGATTCAAATCCACCAGCCAGTCCGTGGGAGAAGGATGAGCAATCTCCTCTCATGCATTTGACTGTCTCTGAAAACCCACCGTAGGGGCAGCTATGGGTCAATTCCAACTCAATGGTACACGCACCAGTGTGCACATTCACACGTGTGCACACACCCCCCCACCCCCCATAACACAGCATAGAGAAATCTAAGGAACCAAAGAACTTATCCAACAGCAACAGTAAGAGAATTTCTACAGGGTCATGGTTAAACAAAAGACTGTAAGAATGATCTAATCATAATTTTTATCTCCAATGAAGAAATGAATAAATAACACCATGCATATAAACTATTATATTCTATTTTTAAAAATGAAAAAAATGTAAAACACTTCCTTTCAATATGATCTCTGCAAACATGTATTACTATTATTATTACTTATGGTATTTCAAGGTAGGCTAATGAAGCCAGCAAGGGTAATAAGGCAGTAACAACAATTAGTAGAGTGCTTTAGAAACATACGGGGTAAATGAAAATGATAAATGCTCTATGAGCTGCATTGACACATGGTGGTACAGGCCCAGGGATGTTTCATTCTGTCCTATATCAGGTCATCATGAGTCAGAGCTGACTCAAGAGCAGCAGTTAGTTTTAAAAGGGTGCTTTCATTGTTGTCGTTAGATACTGTCAAGATACCTCCTACTCAAAGCGACCCTCTGTAAAACAGAAGAGAACGCCGTCCTCTCGATGCTCACAATATTGTGCCCATTTCTGGAGCCAGTGTGAAAATCTTCCCCACTGAAGGTCTTTCTCTATTTCACTGAAATTGTATTTTTTCTATATTCTTCTGCAGGGACTGAGCCCTGATATGTGCCTAAGTATATGGGACAAAGTTTCATCATCCTTGCTTCTACTGAGCAGTTTAAGCTATTCCAAGACAAATTTCTTTGTTCTTTTGGCAGTCTATGGCATATTTGATACTCTTTTCCAACAATGGAAAACATTTTTATCCCCCTAAAGCAGTCCTTGTGGTGCAGTGGTGAAAGAATTCAGCCCTGAACAAAAGGCAAGGGGTTCGAATTCTCCAGCCATTCTAAGAGAGAGAGACGAGGCTGTTTCTATAAAGATATACAACCTCAGAAAACTGATGGACAGTTTCATTCTGTTCTGCAGAGTCACTAGGGAAAACAAATAAATCAGCCAGCCAGCCTAGCAAACAAGAGAAGCAAACAAATAAACAAAGATAAATTCATTTTTACTTCCACCCACTTGTAAATGTTTCAGTATCAGTATACTTCAAAATGACTATTTGGTAGCAATAATTACAGAATAGGAAGCAATGAGTCATTGAGACTCTGAACCCTAAATGAGTATTACAAATTCAGAAACATCAGGCTAAGGTTGGTTATTTGTTCCCATAATTCCTATTTCTTTTTTGCCTTTGGGAGTTCGAGCATTATCTTTTGAAAGTTGTTTCCCCTGCAGGTTTCCATTCACCTTTCCTGTCCCCTATTTTTATTGTATCCTTAAATATCTGTGTACAGCAGCCCCTTACTTCTAAACAGTTCAATTTACCTCAGTACAGCTTATAGAAATCAGCAGAGTGCACTGGACCAGGGGGGAGGAAGGCTCTCTAAAACACGCTTTAAACACGGGGTGCTGGAGTGATTAAATGACAAACATATTTCAATGCAGAGTTATACACCGTTTAACAACAAGATGAGCAATCAGCCATGTTAGAAATGGGGTGTCTTCCCTCTACTCCCAACAGCTACTACTGTCGTTCCAAATGCTGTTACAAAGTGGTTAAGTGCTTTATATTTTTTGTCATTAGCTCTTTTCTTTAATCCTTGACTAGTCCCCAAGAAATTACAGTGTTTGCTGAAGTTGACTTCCTCATTCCACAACATAAATATGCCTTCATTGACTAAAGTCTCTAGGGACAACGGACTAGCCTCTGATCAAAAAACAGTTTTCTTTGAGAACTGAAACATAAATGAAAAACCAAGTCACTTTCTATCTGTGCATCATTGGTTATGACAAGCATTTAGAAACCAGCTTTGTATTCAGGCAGGATTTAGGGAAAAGAAGCAAAGAACAAAGAACTTGTGAGGAGTAATGGCTCACCAGACTGTTTCTTTCAGAGGAGAAAGAACTTCTCAGATCTGCTACGACACCAAAAGACACAGTCTCCAAATGAGTAAATACTACCTGTCCAAAGTGTTGATAGGATAACAGAATAAAAAAAAAGTAAAGTGGTCTTCAGTGGTGTACTCAAAAACAACGAAAAGGAGTAGAATAAATAAACCATTTTTTTGGTGTGTGCAAAAATGGAGTTCTGGTGGCAGAGTTGATACGTAGTTGCATTGCCAAACCCAAAGGTAGGTGGTTAGAATCCACCAGATGTTCCTTGAAAGACAGATGGGCAATAGCTTCTTACATGATTTGCAGCCTCTGAAAACCCACTGATGAATCAACTACACATTGGTTCTGACTCTACGGCAGTGAGTGAATGAACGATACGCAAACAGCATCAAGTGAACAGCCTCTAATAAAACTCCAAACCTACTGACTCTAGTCTCACATAGTCTCCTCAATAATATTCCATCAACTGACTCGATCATAAGCTGGCTTCTTTGTTCTGAGAAAAACCTGCTGAAACAGCAAGACAGGGAGAGGATAACAACCTCCTCTGTTTTTAATCAGAATTCTATCCATGGGGTGTAAAATTATGAGTTCTAAACAAGGAGAAAGGTGGAGAGTCATCTAGCCCCACTCTCAATGGGACAGCAGCTGAGATTCCAAGATGAGGAGCAAAGGACACTTAATAGGCCACTGTCAACTGACCTGAGGCTGCACGCGAACCAAGGCAAAGGGGCTAATCCACCTGACAGCTTGAATGTCAGGCTTTGGACTGGAAACTCAATTTGGTAGCAAATTGGAATCAGATGTGATGGTAATAAAGTGAGTGAAATGAATGTGCCGTGGCCAAGACCTTGTGAACAGTAGCTGCAAAAGTCTGCAAATACCAGGAGGGTGAAGCAATCACAACTGAGGAAGGAGTGCCGACTGTCCTGAAGTATTAGGCTCACCCACTGACAAATCTGCAGGGTAGATGCAAATGAACAGCATCAGGGCACTGGAAGGCAAAGCCTGGCAGTCTCTGTGTGTGTGTTCTTATTTTATTTTCTTAATGTCAGGATAAGGTCACAGATACATTTAGTTAGGAAAGACATGAATATGGGTCCAAATCATAAATCAAGGCTTATCCTTAGTACATGGGGAACATGTGTTAAAAATACAATGTCAAAAAGCTGAAGAAGGGAAGAATGGTTGTGGTGGAGATAAAAAGGACAAGAAATACTATCTGAACTAAATATTATGTTCATTCTCAACTATTCCAGTATTAAAGAAATTCATAAAAAGACGGATCAGTTATTTTCACTGATAGCAAATGTTCAGTAACTTCCAACATTTTTGGAGGTACTGTCCATCATTATGTGCTTGATATTCTCATACTATCTTTCCCTTTCTGAAAGTGCTAACTTCCAAACATTTATACTGAAAATCAACATGAAGTAATACTAAGAGCCATGGTATTCTCTTGAGATTGCCTGACAAGACTGAAGACATCCAAGGCATCCAGGAATTCAGGAGAAGAATCCATGGACAATAAGGCTACAGTCATCTTAGCCAACTCTGCCTTCAAAAGGCAAAAAAAACCCCCTTACTTGTTGAATTTATGAAGATGGTAAAAACCCCCTGCAATTTCTTATACATACAAATAGTTTCCATGGTGGTAATTTAAAATTTACATATATAGAATTTAGTAAGTATTTAACAGCTGCATAGACACAAATAAAACCATTTGGCTACACATTCCACATATGTTTAGATAACCTTCGGATCATTCTTTCTAACTGATGTTAAAGTTTATGATTTAAAGGGGAAAGGAAATTTAGAGAACAACAGTTTCAAATAATAGAATGAAACACTCTCTACTCTTTCTACCCCTCTTCTAAGAGATGAAGCTTGATTTCTTCTCTCTTAAGGGGAGCTGAACTTGGTGACTCACTTTCAGAGAACAGAATAGAATAGAACAGAAAAAGGGAGATGTAGCAATTTGTCAGTGAAAATCCTGGCAGATACTACCTTAACTATCTTGAGTTATCAAAGTTAATATCCCCAATGACATGTTGATGTCATATATCTTCTTTATAGAGTTGATGAGGTCAATTCATCTTAGTGCTACCCTTCCCATGAAATTAGAACTCAGCTACCTACTGAAAATTTTGCTGAAGGGATTTACAGAGAAATCTTGACCAAAAGAGGGGGTATGCAGAACAGAATACCATTGTCTTATGGACTCCAGACTTTTTATAAATATGTGGGCTAGATGAACTCCTGAAACTATTATCATGAGAAAAGCCTTAATCTTAATACCAAAAATATGTCTTGAAGTCATCTTAAAACCAAACAAGGGTTTAGTTTAATTAGCAAAAAAGTCTGCACAAATGTTCTTTAAAGAATTATCTACACAAATGTTCTTTTTGTTTTGTTTTTTATAAATGTTCTTTTCAGAACTATCTATATAGAAATAAATTTACAACAGCAACTTTAA